AGCTCCTCCTGTGTGGTTGCTAAGCCAATGAGAACCCAAATGGTATCTTTTATCAGATGAACCACCCATGAGAGCTTCACATTTGTGAAGCTGAGCCCCAAGCCACCTGCCAGTGGGGTTGGTGACAAAGTTGGGTTTCTCATGGGTTGCACGCCCCTGGCCTCCCAGAAGCCTCCTGCTACACCAAGAGCAGAGCTGGCCAGGGAGAAGTTGGGTGGGCAGAGGCTTACCAGAGGCTCCAGAACTCTGCAGCACAGTCTGGCCTCTCAAGTTGTTCTTAACTCTGTCCAGTGCCCAGGGTGCAGGGCTGTGTGGCTGATGGCCTGTGTGCCTGGGTGCAAGCAGTCCTTTCCCTTCTTCCTAGAACCAGGTCGTCAGTGGGGCAGAAACTGGGCATGTGCCATCTCCTACCCTGAAGCCATTGAGCTCCCATGCTAGCAGCAAGAATGGGGACGGGGCTCCTCCTGCAGTCCTAGCACTTCTTTATTCCAGACATGATTCTCAGAGGCTTCTTAAAACATTGTGATGTCTCCTGTTCTGGCCTCTCCATGTGGCCCCAGTGGTCACAGAATCACAACATCCTCACTGATGTAACAGCCACACAAACAGAAAGTGCACAGCCAGTCTCATTACTTAGACCTGGCAGGACTCAGAGAGGCCGGGGGAGATAGAGCTCATGCGGTGTGGATACAGAGGCCTGGCCTCCACTGTCCTTGCAGCTCCCCATACCAGTGGTGTCAGCACAGCCCATGGGAAGATTTCAGGCAATTCACATGCATCCTACTGGAGTGGGTGCTGCTCATAGTTGGCAGGCAGCATGTGGAGATGGGGAGTTACAAAGGCAAAGTGACTAGAACTGTGATGTGAACAATGGCAAAGACACAGTGACCTCAGAGGGGCAAAAGCCAGCAAAGCTCACCTGCACGCTCTTCTCAATCAGTCCAAATTGAGAAGCTGTGCTGGCCTGGGCACGGGGTGGCACAGAGGACTCTGAGGAAGCAGAGCACAGTGCGTAAAGGAGGAAAATGTGGCCACATAGTCCAGCTGGAGATGCAGCGTGGTACCAGAGTCAGGGCCAGGTCAGCCAAGGGCCTTTATTGATCAGTTTGTTCAAATGCACAGAGAGGTGAGTGAAGAAGGAAGGGCACTGAGTCCACAGAGCATTTAGAAGCCCTTACAAGGGCAGCAGCACTGAGCACAGACCTTTAGCCTCTCAGGATCCTTCAGCCCGCAGCATGCTGGACAAGCAACACCAGGACGTGGTCTAAATGTGGGAGCAGTGCAGGCATGGCTGACAGTTTCTGGGTAGACTTCAGCCCACTGGCCTTGGGGGACAAGGCTGATTAGCAAATCAGCAGCAGGACTTCTGGCCCAAGGAGAGGCCACAGCAGGCTGGGCGGGGGCAGGCAGGGCGGCAGAGCAGGGAGACACAGGAGGCCGGGCGGCAGCAGCTGGGCTGACAAGAGGAGGCACAGCAGGAGGAGGCAGGCATACAGCAGGCAGGTCTGCACACAGGGCGGCAAAGCAGGGACACAGAAGAGCAGGAAGGTGTGCAACAGTCAGGCTTGCAGCAGACGGGCACACAGCAGTATGACTGGCAGGGGGAGCAGGAGCAGCAAGCAGGCTGGCAGCTAGACTGCTGGCAGCAGGAGGAGGCCCCAGAGCAGACGGATGTGGAGCAGACAGGTGTGCAGCAGACAGGTGTGCAGCAGACAGGTGTGCAGCAGGCAAGCGTGCAGCAGGCAGGCGTGCAGCAGGCAGGTGTGCAGCATGATGGCTGGCAGGGGGAGCAGGAGCAGCAAGCTGGCTGGCAGCATAGGCTGGGTTCACAACTCACTGGGGTACAGACTAGGCTCAGGCAGGGAGCTGGGGCACAGCAGCTGGGCTGGCAGCAACTAGGGGCACAGCAGGAGGGCTCACAGCAGCTCTCTGGGCAGTCGTCCACCTGCCAAGGCTCAGTGCAAGTGCTGGAACAGACGGACATGGTGGAGGTGGCCATGGAAGGGTTGGGGCAGGAAAGTAGGTAAGTGAGTGAGTGTGAGTGTGAGTGTGAAGGAGTGTGGGAAGCACGAGTCTCTGGGGCTTTTATCCTCCTCCCTGGTGGCACTGTCTGTGCTTGTTCAGCCCCACAACTTCCTCCTTCCCTGTTGGTGTTCTCAGCTGCTTCCTGCAGGCAAACAGCAATGGTGACTCTGCTGCCTGTGTCATGGCTCAGATAACAGCCCCAGAGGGGACTGGCATCCTAACTTGTTGTGTCTCAGAGGGCAAAGCAGGGGAAGCTGTGGGACCTGTGAGTTTCTACACAGTGCTCTCAGGTCAGGGCCACCCATGGCTGTGGGCACTGGGCATAGGAGCATGTGGCCTGCAGTCACCCAACCTTGGTTCCTGGGCTGCTGACCTGGGTCCTGTCCAGGGCAGGGGCAGAGAAGAATTCTTATCTGGTTTCTGAGTGCGAGTTCCATGGATTGTGTGCTTGCGTGTTAATGGGCAAGACTCTGCTGCAGGAGCCAACCACCTCACACTGAGGGTGGAATGAACCCTAGTCTCAGTCTGGAGGTCAGAAGTCCAAGTGTGAGTGTGGGACACTGGATCCCGCGTGGCCACAGGAGGGCCCGTCCTGGCTCATGGTGTTGTGGCCACTGCTGTTGTCTCTGCATCATAAGGGCATCACTAGGACCTTGGTCTCCATGTCCACCCAGTGAGGACCAGACGGAACCAGGGCCACAGGACATGGGTGTCAAAGCATATGTGTGTGGGGGCACAACTTCAGTGCATGGGGGTGACCTTTTACACTTTAATAAACAGTTGTTAGAATGGTGACAAGGGCCCTTGAGAGCCCACACCACTTCCCATGTGTCCAGGACCACTCATGATCTGTTCCCAGATCCAGAATGCTCTACTGCAGTGGGATGCAGCGCTGAGGCAGCTCCCCTTGTGGACCACGCGGATCTGCCAGCTGCATAGCCCCAGCCTTCTCCTGTCCTTTGTGACCTGGCTGTTTGAGCAGAGTGCTGTTTCTGCCTCCTGCTCCTCATTTGGGCCCAGCTGGTATTTCTGGCAGTGAAACTGTGGTTATCGTGCTAGAGCAAATTCCACAGGAGAGCTGTAGCCACAATACAGGACGCTGCCTTGTCTGGATCGGGAATGTCACTGTTCTTCCCTTTGCTGTTGTGTTTGGGGACAACTCTGAGTCTTCACAAATCCTTTGTTTCTATGTAAACCTTTGCCCAGTAGCCCATCCCCCTCCTCAAGGGACCTGGTCTTAAATTCTTTGATTTAATGGGGAAAAAATTGCTCTTGTGGGTCTGCTCTAGGCTCTCCTTGCGCTCTGCCTGCTGCCTGTTGCCACCTTCCTGCTCACCCCCGCCGCAGCACCCCGGGGACCTGCACTGGCAGCTAGCTGGTTACTGCTCTCCTACAGGACAGAGTGACAGGGACATTGGTTGATACGGCATGGACAGGGTCCCCAGGCACACCTGCCACCAGGTCAGGCTGGAGCCCTGAAGAGGGCTCTGTGCTTCAGGCCCAGGCCACGCTTTCACCCCTACTCTCCTGGCCTGCTGACCCTCAGCAACCTGCTCTGAAAGGGAACAGCTGTCGTCCCAGAACAAGCCATGGGAATGC